GGGGCAAGGGGCAGTCCTCTGATCCCGCTGGAGGCAGCTCTTTCTCTGTTGTTTTGTTTTGTTTTTTTCCCTAACTGGCCTGCGGTTAGGCGACTGAGCCGGGTGACCGACCCACACTTACCCTCTCTCTTACCCCACCGCAGGATGGCGCCTCACCCCTTAGGTGCGCCCACTGTCCAAGTGACCCACGAGACGGAACAGCCGTTCCTTGGAGCCTTGCACGGTGAAGCGACCTGTGCCGCGTCCGCCCCGCCCAGCCCCGCTCACACGCCCCGGGACTGCACCGAGACGGAAGGCGGTGGCTGCAGAGTGGCGGCGAGGAAGCTCCGCGCGCGGCGCGGGGGGCGCAGCCGGCCCAAAAGCGAATTGGCTTTGAGCAAGCAGCGACGGAGTCGGCGCAAGAAAGCCAACGACCGCGAGCGCAATCGAATGCACAACCTCAATTCAGCTCTGGACGCGCTGCGCGGCGTCCTGCCTACCTTCCCTGACGACGCGAAGCTCACCAAGATCGAGACCCTGCGCTTCGCGCATAACTACATCTGGGCGCTGACTCAGACGCTGCGCCTAGCGGACCACAACTTTTACGGGCTGGAGTCGCCCGCGCCGCCCGGCGGGGAGCTGGGCAGCCCTGACAGCGGCTCCTCCGGGGACTGGGGCTCCCTTTACTCCCCAGTCTCCCAGACTGGCAGTCTGAGCCCTGCCGCCTCGTTGGAGGAGCGCCCGGGACTTTGCGCCCCCACCTCCCCAACCTGCCTGCGCCCAGGATCCCTGGCATTCTCCGACTTTCTGTGAATGGGCCAGTCGGGCGCCTGCAGGCGGATGCTGGGCTAGAGGGAGGGAGCCCTCGCCTTTGGAGGCGGGCGATGGTGACCTCTGGCGCACTTGCTCCTCCAGCCTCTCGCCGGCTTGCACCCGCGGGGGCAACCGGCTGGGGTCACACCCCGGGGCCAAAAAAAGCATACCTACATCGGGGCGCTGCCTCAGACGCTGCGCCTAGCGGACCACAACTTTTACGGGCTGGAGTCGCCCGCGCCGCCCGGCGGGGAGCTGGGCAGCCCTGACAGCGGCTCCTCCGGGGACTGGGGCTCCCTTTACTCCCCAGTCTCCCAGACTGGCAGTCTGAGCCCTGCCGCTTCGTTGGAGGAGCGCCCGGGACTTTGCGCCCCCACCTCCCCAACCTGCCTGCGCCCAGGATCCCTGGCATTCTCCGACTTTCTGTGAATGGGCCAGTCGGGCGCCTGCAGGCGGATGCTGGGCTAGAGGGAGGGAGCCCTCGCCTTTGGAGGCGGGCGATGGTGACCTCTGGCGCACTTGCTCCTCCAGCCTCTCGCCGGCTTGCACCCGCGGGGGCAACAGGCTGGGTTCAATCCCCCGGGCTCTCAGCGCTGCGCTGATTCACGCAACCCTTGCACATGCCCACGCGAAAAGGGCGTTGCAAGGCGCATTTTAGCCCCCCTCATTGCGGCCACTCCAAAATCTCCAAGAAGGAAGATGAGAATGGTAGCACCACAGGGCTTCAGACGCCCACCGTCTGGGTCGCCCTGCCCCCACTCAAATGTCGGTCTGCTCGGGCCTCTTACCCTCTTGCCCCAGTGCGATTTAATCCCGTGTCTGGTTTCTCAGCGCTTGGTCTCCTGCCCCCCACAAAGATGCCATTGACCTTCTCCTCTACTCCCTGTCAAGTCCGGGGTTTGGGCCACTCCACTCCGTCTTAATCCACGGAGGAGATCCTCTGCCTTCTCGCGCACTTTACTGACCAGGCTGTGAACTGGAAAAACATTAGCTGGTCGTTGACACATCTCCCCAGCCTCCCTGGGTCCTGCGCCTGACTCCAGAGCTCACGTCTTTAAAAAGAAGCAAATCCGTTTGTAAATTATGTGATGGATTTTGATGTGAATTTTGTTAGGGTAAATTATATGGCCCCCTTCTCTCTTCTACATGTGTGTATTTATTGATGAGATTTCACAGTGGGAAAAGTCTATATTTTGTACATAAGATTACTTAGGGACTGGTGAGTGATACTCTGTGCCAATAAAAATTGGACCTTCAAGAAGCCTCCGTGAAATGACTCAACTGTGCCACGGGGGTGGGGGGGGGCACAGCCACTGCAGGTGAGGAAGGGGCTCCTCTGTCCAAGGAGAGGAATGAGATTCTTCCTCAGGGTTCTGGGACCCTTCCCTTGGGCACTAAGTTGGAAGTCAGGCAGATTCCCTTGGAGAAATCAGTCTCTTAAGGAACCATTGGTCCAGCCCCCTTGTTTTCTTTTTTTTTTTTAATTATTTTATGGAACTTTATTCATTCATTTATTTTAATTTGATCACAGAGAGACAGAGAGAGAAAGTGAGAAGGCAAGCTGCCAGGTCCGGAACTTGAACCGAGGTCAGCCATGTGGGAGTCCAGCACCACCAACCACCATGCCACCTGCCGGCCCCACCCTCTTGTTTTCTTTATGGATCCGCAACTTGTCTTATTCCAAAAAGACAAGCCCACTGATGAGCCCTTTCTCTAAGCCTCGCATCCATGTTGTGCTTGAGGAAGGGAGAGTGAAGTAACCAGAGTTACAAGGTCAGAGTCCTTGGAAACACCGCCTCTGGGCTGGACAGCCCAGGTACTGGGAGGCCCAGCACATCATCCCCTGAGAGCATGTCACCGCCAGGTGCTCGGGTGGTGACTTGACTTGTGGAGCTGAGTAGCAGGAAGCAGAGAAGGTGGAGGGTCTGGCTGGAATCCCTGGCATGATTGGACACCTGGCAGCCTGGTTGAAAACTTACCAGGAAACTTCAAGGTTTCCAACCATGAGAGCTCTCGTACTCCTATGATGGAATAGGCACTGCCTCCTCTCCTGGGGGGTACCAGTGAAGCACTGCCACATGGATTTGGGGACCCCTGGACTCTCAGGGAGAGTCCGTAAGACTCTATGCTATGAACCGAAAGACTCTATGGAGTCCACCTGCCACTTGGGGACAGGAAAATGGAGGCAGGTCACTCTGTGAATTGAACCCCAGGGGTCTGTTTGGACTGGCTGGGATGACCTGAGAAAAAACTGAGCTACCTAGGAAGGGTGCAGCAGCGCCAGGGGCTGGGAGCCAGTGGGTAGGTCCTTTCCAGCATGTTAAAATGTGAAGGCAAGGCGGCAGCTTCTCAGGCGCCAACACCTCTTGCATCTTTCTCGTAAGCCCCTCTTCCCCCCACTTCAGATGGAACCTTTCCTCCCCTCTCTTCTCCAGCCCCTAGAAGCAGCTTGGAGGAGATATGTCTGTGTTATCAAGGGCAGGATTTGTCAGAGGGAAGGGGGACCCGGCAAACAAACTAATGAACAGAAGTGTTGTTTCATTTCATGGCTTTAATCAGGGAAAAGGAGATTAATGAGTTATTGGTGACCTTTGCAGCAGCCAGTTTTCCACCTGGGGCACCACCTGGGGGCAGGTGTCAGCAGCTCGAGTTGCATGAACTGAGTCAGCTCTGCTACTTGTTGGGTGTTGCGGGGGAGGAGAGTGGGCAGACATCAAAAGCAGGAAGGTCCCCCTGAGCTCTTGGGACAGTCCAGACAAGCAAGGATATAGACAAAATTATTCAAGGTTAAAAAAAAAAATAGTGGAGCAAGGTGCAGGTACGAGTCACAGGATGGATGACAGGACTGTTACCTGGAGCTGGACTGTGCGAGGCTTGCCAGAGGAGGTGTTATTTGGGCCAGGACTAAAGGTTTGAGGAATTCAAGTGGGAAGATCCTTCTTCCTGTGCAAGACTGTGGAAAGTAGTGTTGGTCTAGGCAGAGGACTTCTTGGTAAAACAACCCCCCTGAAGCTGCATGAGTGTCTGTTGCGCTGCACTTTCGGCTTGGGCTACCCAGGAGCTTCAGAGGTACCCACTGCCCAGTCGTTTGCCTGCTTTCCAGAGTGCTGGTTAAGGAACCGTCAGTTATCCAACGCTTACAGACCCAATGCATACTCCACCCCACGAATTAAACCAACTCAGCTGCTGGACTGGTCGCAGATTTGGCCTGGATTTGGACCAGAGCACTTTTCTCCCCAAGTCAGGAGAAGGCACAGGAAGGATTAGGGTTTCACTGAATCACTGCAGGGTTTAGGGCTTGGTTGAAAGCCAGCCAGGTGTGTGTAATCGCGCTGAGATGGGAAACCTCATCCATGCCTCTTGCCTCTTCCGAAGGCTCTGAAACAGTTCTGTGAGTGAGCATGTCCAACGAGCCCAGCATCATCATTCTTATGCTCCTCTCTACCCTCTACCCTCCACTCTCCCCACCACCCTTCTAACCTCCCCCTCCCCACCAGTTGCTGAACACTTTGGGTTCAGCTTTTAAATCCAGTTGGGCTGCTGACAGTCTCTGCTGGAAGCCTGCCCCTGCATCCTCTGCATGATCTTCTTTGGCTTCCAAGCCTTCTGTGGTCTGAGGTCGAAGTCTACACCCCAGCTCCCTGAAGACAGGACAGGGCTCCATGTGGGGGCAGGAAAGACCCTCCAGTCAGTAACTCTTTCCTCTCTTCTGCTTTTGTTTGAGCCTAATCCTTTCTTGCAGGAACACAACACATGAATCTTGTGCCTTCCCCTTCCACCACCCCCACGGCTCCTGCTCCCTCCCTGCTCCCTCCAGCCCCGTCTGCACACACAAGCAGGTAGATTTATGGCGCCCTGCCCCCATCCCCTCATTCCTC